ATAAAATTTAAAAAATAAAAAGAGGTGGGAGGTAGGGTATCTGTCCTCAGCGCCCTCCCCACCTTTATGGCCAAAACCTATTGTGGGACCAACCAGATAGCTCAGTGGATTAAAGCCCATGCTTTGGCACACTCAGGGACCGGGACCGGGGTTCCATCGTCCACGGTGTGCCATGCTGGCCCCGCCCCCATGGCGTGCTGAGACAGCAATTGAGACTGGGTATGGTGGTACACGCCTGTAATCCCAGCTCCTTGGGAGGCTGTAAACAGGAGAATCACCAGAGTCCGATCTGTATAGCGAGACCCTGTAGACCCTGTACTAAATAGAAAAGAAAAAGAAAAAGAAAAAACGTATTGTGTCGAACTACTTCACCGTCCTGATGTGGTTTGCAGCTATCGGCACTTGGATTACATCACCTGCTGGCTCCAAAAGGAAATCTGTAAACCTGAGAGAGATTCTGGGTGAGGGGTGGCAGCACAGAAGAGGGGAGCGATCGCCAGCTGGCCAGAGGCCGCAGGGACCCCGCGTACTGATATCAGCCCACGCTGCCTGCGCGTCCACCCTTCTGCCAGGTCGCTGCCCCTTGTCGTGTGAGAGTCGAGGAGCAGAGCTGACGGCTTCCAGAGCGCCTCGGGCTGCAGGGACCGCGAGGAGGGAAACGAGGGCCGGCAGCGCACTCTAGTGGTGGAATTTCTAACGTCAAGCTGCCGGCCACTCGCTTGCTAGCACTCTACCCCCTGGCTCGGTTTCCCTGTCCCGCCCTGTGAGACTGGAACCGTTTGTCTACTTAAATCCCTGAGAATGCCAAGGAGGAACACGGCGCACCTGCGTGGGGAGCCCAAGACCGTGACTCTTCCATGCCCCCGATAAGGACGCGCCACCACCTCCTGTGTATTGACCGCAGCAGGTGATGGCTGCCGCAAGCAGCTCTGGTTTATAAAACTTCTTCCAGCCAGGTATCCTGCACAGAGACTGACAGGCTCACCTCAGTTCTGCTGAGGTGTCACCTGCACTGTGGGGATGAGGACCGAGATGTGGAGCCCTTAGGAGACTCGAACCAGAGTCGAAGCCCGGTGGGAGGAATTGTTTGCTAGTGACTACTGTTGATGTCAGCGCTAGCAGCCGCAAGTTTAACAGTCGCGCCCGCAAAGTTGCTTCAGTGCCCTGTCGGAAGCCAGTGTTAGGCATTTCAGCCGATCCTGTCTGTACTAAAGCAGAGAGTCTTAGGTCTGAGTTGAAGAAACCTGGGTGGGGCCCTGGCCGCCTCCTCAGCTCCTGGCCCTTGAGGCCCATGCCCTGTGGGGTCTGACTGTAAGTCTTCAGGACAATAAAGCGACTGAGTCCAGCGTGGCCTCGACTGCAGCACTGCCCACCCTCCTCCAGCACAGACCACAGAGTGTGTGCAGAGAACAAAGCCGACAGCCAGGCTCCATCACAAGGACCAAAGTGTCGTGGTGATAGTTGATGGGTCCTGGGTGGAGCAAGGCAGGTGTGCAACTCCGGGGACAGCCCATCTTGCACTGTATAGTAAACTTGCTGAAATCTTGCTTTCCAGCTGGGCATAGCGGCACATGCCTATAATCCCAGCAGTCTGGAGGCTGAGGCAGGAGGATGGCCAAGAGTTCAAGGCCAACCTGGACTACATAGCAAGACCTTGTTTCAAAAAAAAAGAAAGAAAAAAACTTTTCTTTCCTCAGCCTTTGGGTAAAAGGACTTTAAGAAGCTATAACAAACGTCTGGTCAAATAGCTTAGAGGATTAAAACACCTGCTTAGGCAGACGAAGCGAGGGCCGGCCAGATAGCTCAGCAAGCTAAAGTACCTGCTGAGACAGAGTGCAGTGGCCACGGCTTAATCCCCAGGCCTGCCTTACTAGCCCTGCCCCCGGGTGCATGGAGACTTAGACTGAGACTGGGCGTCATGGCCCAGGCATATAATCCCAGCTCTTAGGAGGCGGAAAAAAGGAGAATCGCTGAGTCTAATCTATGTAGTGAGACCCTGCATGAAATACATTTTTTAAAAATATTTTAAAGCTATAGCAGAGACACACATACTTGGTATGACAGAACTAGAGTGTTTTTCCGCAGAGCTGGCCCACCTCGGTGATCCAGGCAGCTGGACTGCAGATGGGCTGGGACTCAGGCCTGGGAGATGTGGGGATGGGCTGGGGGGAGTCTGAAGCCCTCCAGAGCCCTGACGGCTTTTCCCTGGCCCTGGGGGATGTCAGAGAATGAATGAGACCTGGCCTGTGGTCTGGTCAACTATAAACAAGTTCAAGACCTGGGAGAAATGGCTTCAGCCCCACCTAGAAAACACCATGATGCATTGTTAATGTTTTTAAAGAGTAGGTAATTTCTGACTGGTCTATTTCCTTGTTTAGTTTTACTTTTATTAGCACCTGTTTGCTGCACGTAGTTACACTGGTCACAACTACTGATGTTGCCATATGAATAGAACACGATGCTTCCTTAATACAGACACCTAGTGAGCCAAAGGGCTGGGGTGGGTGGCTGAGAGAGAGAGGAAACCCTGGGTATTAGAGGGTGCAGGGACACACAGGTGCTGGCAGACGTCCACTCCTGCAGGCACCGTTACGAACCAAACGCAGCTTTTGGCATATAGGCCCTGGTGGTGAGAAATGGTTCCAGAATTGTTTTGGAGGCCCCTGTGGACTCTGTAGTCCCAGGAAGAGCTAGGAGCTGCCCAGAAATTCAGCTGATTCCTGATCTCCAACTGCAACAGCCAACAGAACTGGGCGGCTGGGGATTCAGTGCTTCCCCCTTGCCCAGGCATCTGCGGGCGGTTTGCATATGCGCTGAGGATGGTTTTTACATTTGTGAGCAGTTCTGGGAGGAGGAACAAAAGAAGAGAACTTTGTGGCACATGAAGATCCAGCATCATCGTCCATACAAGTTTACCAGAACTCAGCCATGCCCACTTGTCCACATAGTGATGGCTACTTTCTAGCTACTGCAAAGCCTAAAATATTTACTGTCAGTGTTCTTGGCAGAAGACATTTAAATATCTGCAGACCCCTGCCCAACCCTGACTCCCTACAGCCATCTTTTACACTTGGGTGTGAGTAACTGGTAACCCTGCTTTATCCCTCAGAGCCAATTTGGAAGGGGGTGCTTATGATACAGATTGAACTGGAAGAGCTAAATGTGTATGTTGGGGTGTGGGACTGGTGATGGTACCCACCCTACACTGAAGCCGTGTGCCCCGGGGAGCACCCTGGTAGAGTTCTGGCTAGACAGTGTCTATCTGTGCTGCAGGTGGAGCAAGGAATTTCATCCCCATTATGTGGGAGAATTCACTCTTCCCCTGTCTCCTGTTCACAAACAGGATGTTTCCTCCCTGCTGGCTCCAATCACAGGGGGGAGTTCCCCAAGGGGAAGCTGATGGGGGTTAGCACTAGAATAGAAGGGCAACAGTATTAGTGTTATCATTTTCTAATGGTTGTCTTTGTGCCTAATTATAATAAAAGTTGCAACCAACCTTCAAACATCATCAAACAGTTATTAGAGATCCCAGCTGCTGATGGAATCATACCTTTTTCTTACAAAATTTTTACCCCATGACTTGGTCAGAACTTGTGTAGCTGAAAATGACAGACACACAAATCAGATTGGCTTGGGCCAGTGAGATAGCTCAGCAGACTAAAGCACCTGCTTAGGCAAGTTCAGGCAAGCTCAGGGACTGCAGCTTGATCCCCAGCATCACATGCTGCACCAGCCCTGCCCTTAAGGCAGGTTGAGCCAGCCACAGAGTCTGGGCGCAGTGGTGCATACCTGTAATCCCAGCACTGGGGAGGCTGAAAGTGGGAGGATCACCATGAGTCTGAGCTGTGTAATGAGACCCTGCAACATCCAAATATATTTTTTTTAAAAAAAATCAGATTGACTTAGCAAAACAGGAATCTAATAGCTTATCTAAAGTCTGAGATAGCACTGAATTCAGTTACGGATGGGTCCAGGTGCTACAGACCATCTTCTTCAATCCAGCTCTCAATCTCTGCATCACTGAGTTTGATTTCATCCACTGCCATGTGGTCCAGCAACCACGGCTGACATCTAAACCCAACAGATCTTACCCAGCAATCCAAGAAGGCAGAGCTGCTCCCCCAATAATTTCAGCCAGTTGGCATGATATAGGTCACTGTTATCAATCCCTGCATAGAGGGGCATCTATAGTTCCACTAGTTAGGCTGACTCCCATGCCTTTCCCCCAGCCACATGAACTGTAATCATACAAGGGGGAGCTCCCCAAGGGGAAGCTAATGGGGGATGTCACTAGAATAGAAGGGCATGGAAGATGAATGGGCAAAACAAGCAGTTCCTTATCTAATTGCAGGTCATGCAACCCTTAAAACATGCATAAATGGTAAAGTGAAACAGCCAGGCACCACTGGACAGGAATGGGCTCTGCAATTGCATCATCAGACTTTCTATGTACCACATGGCAGAGTAACTCCCACAGCCTGGCTACCTGGCCACCAGGCAGTGTAATCTATGGGACACTTTCATGTCTGTGGCCTATCACTGATCTGCTGTCATCATGTAGCCTATTGCTATGGCTAAAATGCGGTGGACTAATAGGATCTTCGACAAATAAGAAAGATTAACCCCTTCCCTACCCTCTGCCAGTTTTGGCCCCATACCTAGGCTGGACACTGCAGTCCCCTGAGCCTTTCCCCTGTCTCCCACCCCCAGAACCTGAAACGTGTGGCAGAAGTGTGGATGGACGAGTATGCCGAGTACATTTACCAGCGCCGGCCTGAATACCGCCACCTCTCAGCTGGGGACGTGGTGGCCCAAAAGAAACTCCGCAGCTCTCTGAACTGCAAGAGTTTCAAGTGGTTCATGACAAAGATCGCCTGGGACCTGCCCAAGTTCTACCCTCCAGTGGAGCCCCCAGCTGCGGCCTGGGGTGAGGTGAGTGTGGCAGCTCTCAGCACAGGAGCACCTAAGGATAAGATTCTTCACTTTCCTGTTCTCTTTACCTTCATCCTACTAACTTTGCCATTTCATATTCTATATAGAGAAATATAACTTTATAAGCATGAATTTCACTTTTCATCTTTCTGTTATGCAGTGCCAGGGATTTTTGTTGTTGTTGTTGGGTGTTCTGTTTTGCTTTGCAGTGCTGGGTATCAAGCTCAGCGCCTCATGCATGCCAAGCACACCTGTGCCACTAAGCTACACCTGGAACCCACAGTGCTTGTTTTAAATGCAGATTTACCTTACCAAGGACAGTGACATGTGCCTGCACTCCCAGCACAGGAGGCTGACGTTTGAGTTCCACCTGGGGAACTTAGCAAGACCCTGTATAAAAATAAAAAGTGGAAAGGGGTGGAGACATAGTACAGTAGTGCAGCCCCCAGGTTCAATCCCCAGGACAGTAGCAGGGGTAAAAGCAGCACATAAGTTGCATTCAGACTAAATGAAATGACATTGTGGGTGTATATTTCTCGCCAGAACAGTAGCAGCACTGCACAGAGCTGCTTAGTGGGTTTTATCTCACTCCTGAGAACCCAAGTGCCCTTTGCACAACTGAGGCACATTCTGGGTCAAGGTCAGTATGGCTGCTAGAACCTGGCAGCTCCTCTTGCTCAGCCACAGTGCTAGGCACCAGCCTGTGCTCGCCTTGAGTCTTGCTGAGCTCCTTGCGTGTCAGGTCCCTGCAGTTCTGTGCTTGTAGGCCTCACCAACGCTGATGCACTCAGGGCAGCAAGAGACAGTGGGCATTCTTATACACCAGTTTCCTTTGCTCATGTGCATGCCCTGCTTCATTCACAAACATTGGATCAAAGATAAAGTGATCAAGAGTTTCAAGTCAAGCATAGTGGTACACACCTCTAATCCCAACACTTGGTAGGCTGAGGCAGGAGGATCTCAAATTTTAATCCAGCCTGGACTACACAGCGAGACCATGTTTCAAATAGTAAAGCCATAGCAAAGTTTAAAGGAAGCACAGACTGTCCCCAAAACAGGGCCTTGTGTACCTGTATGTGGTAGGTATCTGTCACAGCCAAAGGGACAACATGCAGAGAGGCATACCCTCACCACTGTGACTCTTGGGAATTGAGGCTACATCATCATTCATAGATTGTGGCTTAAAAAACAAGAGCAGAAGAGTTGTGTCCCTTTAAGTGGCCCAGTTTAAAGGGGAGTTCCTTGGCTCCCGTAGGAGCCTCACTGTGGCTGTGGACAACCCGGACCTGGGGAGGGCAATCTCTGTTCTGCTCCTTAGCTCAGCTCCTTTTTATGCTGGCCTCATGCTGAAGGTGGCTGTGCCAGCAGAAAGTGGGGGCCACAAAGGGCAGGGAAGCAAGGCAGGGCAGGTGCTGGCTGGCTACCAGGTAGGAGGGACTAGAACACAGGACACAGGAAGGAGTGGTGATCTTGGCCAGTGGAAGTGGGGGTTCAGGGGTTGTCCTTCCAAATCACAGCAAGTTAGACCTTTCCTGCCCCTCACCAAATTCTTCTGCTCTGTGCTAGTGCCTCAGTCTTTTCCTGTTAGTTCAGATGCCATATGGATGAGCCATACAAGAGATTCACAAGAGGGTGACTGGTCTGGCCTCTGAAGAGAAGAGAGAAGGAAGGAGGGAGGGTGGTATAGGAAGTCTCAGCCCTGGTGCAGCTCTAAGAAAGTTCCAGGCAGATTAATAAGGACCCTCCAACTGAATTGCCCATCAGAGCCTTCAGCAGCCCCTGAACTAGCCCCTGCCTCACTGAGGTACAGGCTGGGAACAGCCCTAGGGAACACAGAGTCACCAGGACCCCAAGTGATGCCTTTCCATAGCCACCACACCTACCCCTCAGACAAAGCCACGGGGCAGCTCTGCGGCCAGTAACATGGTGTAACAAAGGGCCTGGCACTGTGTTTAGTAGAGAAGCAGATGTAACACAAGACATACAAAAGTGTATAAGGATATACAAGGTAGGCTTCCCGTGGCCACCCACAGAGTCAGATAGGGAAGCATGCAGTGGGTATCTGCACACCAGAGACTGAGGGATCCAGTCCAAAATCTGAGTTCACTGCAGTGTCCCACAAGTCCATACAAGGAGGCCAACAGGTCTGCAATGGAACCTGAGGAGTCTGCCCTGAAAGGCAGAGGATCTGTGCTAGAAGCTGGAGTCTATGCTGGAAGCCAGGAGATGACGCCCACAGTGAAGGCAAAGACTGGAGCTCATCTGAAGAAACAGCAACACACCTGTCCCTCTTCATTTCCCCTCCATACCATCCAGGAGACAAACTGCCACAGCATAGGCCTTCCCCACCCTAGGGTGTGCCGTTGCTGAGCCAAGCTAGTTGAGCTTCTCTTACTCAAGTGGACACAATCAATCAACCACCACAGTCCACCCCTTGTCAACTTGTCAACCAGACGCATTCCTTAACCCAGTCTCTGGGTACAAAGATATACTCACATTCCACCTAACACGTTACAACTCTCCTGCATAAAAACAGAAATGCACTAATTCTTTCCACCAAGTAGAAAGCAAGTTTTCTGTGGGTGCCACTTACTCTTATCATTGCATAACTTGCACGTTATGACACAGGCTTAAAAATTAAGAAGCAGGCTTAAGTCAACATTATATTTCATTACAAGCATATTAGAAGAAAAACAGTACACTTACAGTGCTTGGCTGCTATTTAGAACTACCTTCTCCTACTACCTATTCAGTATTCCCTTGGCCTTCAGCAAGCACCTCAGTAGGTCTTGGCTCTTTCCTGGTGGGGTGGCCCATACCTTCATTCCTGAAGGCTCTGGGCCATTTGTCATTGTGCCTGTATTAAGTTGTTATAATTTCCCATTGACTTTAATAACAGGGCATGGCAATACTAAGAGGTACTCTAAGGAACTTCCTGCATCCCATGTATATTCTTCCTTTCCTCCGCTGTGGCATAGTGATCCAGTTTCCCTTTGATAGTCTGGGTCAGTCACCCCTGACAACACTGTCACTTCCTTTTTAGCTTGCTTCCTCAGAGGCATGGGGAAACCAAAATAACCAGGGAGAAGTCTTAGCTTCCAGTTCAAGGGTACCATTGCTCTGCTTCCTGATACAAGCCTTCCCCCCTCTAGAACTAAGACTTCTAAGCCAACAGAACATAAGGTCGTGGGGACAGGAAGCAAACATTTTGCTAATGGATCACTAGGGGTAATGGTGAGTGGTACCATTCCTGTGGATACCCCTTCATTCCTGGACTTGTGAATCCTAGCTATGGGAGACACAGTATCATAGAGTGGATGCCTTTTGAAGAGCCCCTACACCAGCCCTGCAAGCTATTGCCACCTAGCTGGTACCTTAACTGTGTCTTCAAAAGGCCATCCCATATTTCTATCACTCCAGCTGTTTCTGTGTGGTGAGTCCAGTGAATTCCATGGGCATGAGGCCACTGCTGCACTTCTTTGGCTGTAAAATGTGTTCCTCAGTCAGAGGCAATACTGTGTGGAATTTCACGACAGTGGATAAGGCATTCTGTGAGCCCACGCATGGTAGTTTTGGCAGAAGCGTTACATGCAGCAAAGGCAAATCCATATACAGAATACACACGTATGCCATTGAGGACAAAGCTCAGTCCCTTCCATGATGGGGGAGAAAAAAGGAAATTGTCCAATATAATCCACCTGGGGAATGGTGCCATTCTGGGGACTCGGTGTTGGTCTCCGCTGGTGTACTGGGCACTCAGCAGTGGCTGTAGCCAGACCAGCCTTGGGGAGTGGGAGTCCGTGTTGCTGAGCCCATGCGCAACCGCCATCCCACCACCATGGCCACCCGTTGCTGGGACACCATCCCAAGTGTCTGAGCACTGCCCAGTGCCACACAAGTGACCAGCCATGGGCTTCTGACTCCCAGCCCTTCCTGCTGGTGTTGAAAGGTGGGGGCCACCACTGCTGGAGCCAGGCTCCAGCCACCCCTTGTCATGAATTTGCCCTAGAAGGTGACAGTCTAGGACCACAGCAAAGCCAGATGTGAGGAACAGGCCTGTAATCACAGCACTCAGAGACTACAACAGGATGGGGTGTTCAAGGCCAGCCTGGGCTACTAGTGAGACCCTGTCTTTAAAAAACAAAACAAAAAGAACCCTGAGCAAAGATTTTATGTCCTGTTCTAATGTTTTGAGGTGTGGTCCCTGGGCCACCTACCCCTGCATCACCTGGAATGGGAGGTCACATTCAACTCCTGGGCCTGCAGTTTCCAGGAGTGGGGCTTGGAAGCCCTCATTACCACCTCCTCCCCGCCCTCTGTGGGTGGTGACTGTCCCTGCATGAGTGGTCCTTACAGAGAGGCCAGGCAAGCCTTTTGAAGACAGTCCCAAACACAGCCCATCGCTCTGCCTTGGTTTCCCCTATCTACCTGAAGGGACCTCACTGGTCCATGCCTTCCCTCTTTCCCTCTTAGATCCGCAATGTGGGCACTGGTTTGTGTGCAGACACAAAGCATGGGGCTCTGGGCGCCATACTGAGGCTGGAGAGCTGCGTCCGGGGCCGTGGGGAGGCCGCATGGAACAACATGCAGGTAAGGGGACCGACCAGGGGCTCCGCGGGGCCTCAGCACTGTCCGTGGCCTGCAGCACTCATGAATTCAGGGCCAAAGGGAAAGCCTGCAGTGCTTTCTAAGAGGGTGGACGTCAGCCAGTGAAAATCCTTGAGAGGAGAAGCCGACAGTTGTTGAGCCCAGCAATTGCCCTGCTTTCTTCGTTGAGGGAAATCCCAGCCCCAGTTCTAGGAGAGAAAAGTGAGGTGGACCCAAATACATGGGCTCCCTGCGGGGAAGGACAGAGCTGGGTGGGCAGGAGGCTGTGGGCTAGAACTGGGGACACATGCAGGGAGGAGGCGAACAGGAAGAGGGTTGCTGAGGTGAACCCAGGTCTGGATGACTTCACTGAAGGAGCTACCAAACAGGCAGAGAGACCTGACCGGTTCTAGAAGAAATTCTTGGCCCTGGAGATATAATAACTCAGTGGCACACGCACCTGTCTGGCAAGCTCAAGGGCCTGAATTTGATTGCCAGTACCAAAAAATAAAGAAGTTCTTCCAGAAAAGCAGGAGTACATGCCAACTCATTTGTGAGACAACATTGCCCTAGTCCCAAAACCAGACTACAGCATTGTGAGAGCAACCACACACTGACATTTCATGCACATAGATTAAAAATTCTGGAGAAAAACTAGAAAAGTTAGATAATACCTCAGTGCACCAAGAAAGCATTTAAAAAAAAAAATCTAAGATCCATTCCTGGCAAACAGAGCAGGAAGGAACTTCCTCGGTTTAATACTAAAACTGCCTAACACCACACTTAAGGCTGGCAGGCTGAAGGCTTTCTCCTAAGAAAGAGGTGCCCAATCTCACCACCTCTGTATCCCACACTGTGTTAGTGGCTCTAACATACTCAACAAGAAAAGCAAACTGAGCACATCCAGATGTAAAGGGAGAAGGAAAACTGTATTTATAGACTATATGAGAACGAATGTGGAAAATTCTGAGTCTAGAGAGGAGCTTTAGAACTAATAACTGAATCTAACAAAGTAAAAAAACACAAAAATCAGTCTCATTTTTATACCAAGAGTAAAGAACCTGAAGTTAAAATTAATAACAAGTACTTTATATAGCATAAAAATGTTCCTAAGGTATGTAGTGATGTGAAAGTCCTATACTTTGCAAATTATAAAATATTGCTGATAAAAATTAAAAGAAGCCTAAATAAAATGAAGAAATATGTCACTTTCATAGGAAGACTCAACAGTGGTATCAGTTATTTCCAAACCAAGATATAAATTCAACACAATTTTCTTATCCTAATAAGCTTCTTTGTAGAGCTGAAAAATTGACTGTAAAATTCATGTGGAAATATGAGGACCTCGAATAGTCAAAACAACTTTCAGAAAGCAATGTAAGGTTCAAGGACTAGTGCTGCCTGATTTCAAGTTATGCTATACAGCAGTAGTCACCACGCTGGTGTGATGCTGACATTTTAAAAAATCAGTGAAACAAAATAAAGTCTAGAAGTAGATCCAACACTTATAAAGACAACTGATTTTTTTTAACACAAATATAAAAGCTGTACAATGGAGAGAAGACAGTCTTCTTAACAAGTGCTCCTGGAAATATTGGATACCCATATGCAAACTGGAAGTCAGCGTATACCTATACAGTATACAACGTTAAATCAGAATGGGTCATTATCCTAAAAGTAAAACCTAAATTTAAAAGCTTTTAGAATGGGAACTAGGGAAGGGAGAAGAAAAGGAAAAAAGAGAAGAAAAAAATGGAAACAAAGCCTTTGTAAATAAGGGGGAGAGGGGCTAATGGGGGGAGGGGAATGGAAAGAAAAAGAATCCGGATACTATACATGAAGTACGACTTCCCTCTGAGGACTGAGATCATTATGTACATCTAAAATGTACTATTAATATTAATAAAAGTAAAGTTAGGTGCATTACATTTTTTAAATCAAAAGCTCTTAGAAATGCAGCCAAAGGAATTCATGACCTTGAGTGAACAATTTCTTGGACACAACACCAAGAATGCAACAGCAAAAGAAAACAGTCGAGTTGGGCTTCTTCAGTATGAGGACAGCCCTTTAAAACAATGTCTAAAGTACAAAGGCAAGCCGTGTGCGGGCTGGGAGAAAATGTTTGTAAAGCACATGTGATTAAAGACTTGTTTCTAGAATATATAACTCTCGGAAAGCAAGAAAAGAAAAAAAAATGATCTGAAGATTCATACAGATAGATTGCCAAAGAAGGGATGGCAGATAAACAGGTGAAAACGCTTAGCTTCATTAGTGATTAGAGAAACAGAAATGACAACTGCAAAGCCACGTCCACAGGTCTGTTATAGAGACCAGGCAGACTGAAAATCAGCAAGGACAGAAATGAGCTCAACTGTACCACGCTCGGGAAAGCAACGTGGCCGCCGCCTTGAGGGACAGTGGGCCAGTTTCTTAGAAAAACTAAACCCTGATCTATTTCGTGAGTCAGCCTTTCTACCCCTGGGTATTTATCCAAGAGAAAAGAAAGCGTGCCACTGCAGAGCAGTGTGTGCCTATGTATATAGCAGTTTTCTTTGTAAACAGCAAGAAACCATCTGGACGTGGTAGAACACGCCTGTAATTTCAGCACTCAGGAGGCTGAGGCAGGAGGATTGCTGTGGGTTTGAGGCCAGCCTGAACTGCACAGTGAAACCCTGTCTCAAAGCACACATACAAGAATAGCCAATAACTGGGAACAAGCCAGATGTGCTACCACAACATGGCTGAATTGCACTTTAAGTACATTGAGTGAAAAAAAAAAAGAAGACAAAATAAGAATATACATACTCTATGATCTTTATATATAAAATTCTAGAAACTGTAAGTGAATCTCTCATGCTGAGGAGGGAGGAGGAAAACACTACCAAGAGCGTGGAGAGTCCTTGAGGGTGATGGATGTCCTCAGTCCCTAGATTGCGATGTTGGCTCCGGTATAAGCATATGTTAAAAGCTATTGCGTTGGTCGCTTTGTCCACCACTGAGACAGCACTCATTGCCCACGACTTAAAGGAAAAGAAGCTCAGCTCGCTCATGTTCCAGGGATTTGGTTCATGGTCAGCTGACGCCAAGGCCGGAATATCATGGCAAAAGGGCCCAGAGGAACACAGCTGCCTATTTCACGGAAGCAGAGTGGGGAAAGGGGCCAGGGACCCAATGTAGTGCCTGAGGTCACTCCTTCGCGTGTGACCCCTGCAGATGTGGACACACCCAGAAATGTGCTTTGTGAAGCCACCTAAGTCAACAGTGCTCAAAAAATAAAAAATAAAAAATAAAAAAAAATAAGTCAACAGTGCTGGTAACTGTCACACAGATCACACTGTCCCCCTTGAGCATGTGCAGTTTAGTGTATGCTAGTCTTCAACAGAACTTTTGGGAAGGAAAAACAAAAAATCTTATCCACCAAATGCAATCTAGGGGCCCAGTCAGGACCCTGAGGCAAACAGAAAGTAGAAAGTGACAGGGCGATCCGAGAGTCCCCAGGTCGAGAGGTTGGATGGCATGAGGACCATGCTGTCGGGATGGTGATGGGGTGGGCTGGAGGAGGACTGGCCCGGAGTTGGCTGATGAGAGCCGGAGGTGTGGTCCACGGGCTGCTGATGTTTTCCATGAGTTTAAACTTGAATGGAGGAGGGAAAAAAAGGGCGTTGCTACCACTCCCCTGCTGTCTGTGTGCACAGGTGTTCACCTTCACCTGGAGAGAGGACATCCGGCCAGGAGACCCTCAGCACACCAAGAAGTTCTGCCTGGACGCCATCTCCCACAACAGCCCTGTCACCCTGTACGACTGCCACAGCATGAAGGGCAACCAGCTGTGGAAATACCGCAAAGTAAGTCAACCAGCCTTGTGCAGGGAGCAGAGCCACCTGTGGCATGGGGAGATGGGTGGGTGGGTTGGTTTGTGTCGTGCTGGGGATGATACCAGTGCCCACCACATGCCAGCCAAGTGCTCTGCCCTGAATTGCACTCCCAGCATTGAATGTTTTTAAACAAAGCGTGGGGGCCGGGGAGATGGCTCAGTGGAATAAGCGCTTCCCTGGCAAGGGTAAGGACCTACTTCAATCCCCTGTTCCACAATAAATTAATTAATTAATTAATTAATTCAAGTAAACAAGGCATGGCCTCAATGCTTCTTCCAGGGTGTGTCCCCCTCATTTATTTGTTCCTCAAACCCTCAGCTCCCTATTTTCCTGGTGCTTACAAAAGGAGCCAGAAATTTACATTTCTATGTGAAATCTCAAATGTTGGCAACTGGGTCCATTTAAATGGAAAGCAAACCCACAACCAAAGACCAGTGAAACTGGGCTAAAGACAGGCAGCCTCTCCAGGGCCCAGCCTGGATGCGGTGCAGGTCCCTCCTGCCCACGCCCAGACTGTAGAAGGCAGCTGCTGAGCAACATAATCCGCAGGGCAGGTTGGGCAGCACCTGGCCCTGTGCCTGGGGGAAGAGCGGGCACACCGGGAGCCCCCCTGGCCAGCACTGGCCTCCTCACCTCCTCGTTGCAGTTATTGTTGCTGCTGTTCATTCCCATCCCCGGTGCCTCCTGGCTGATGACCTCTGTGTGTTGTAGGACAAGACCTTGTTCCACCCTGTGAGCGGCAGCTGTGTGGACTGCAGTGAAAGTGACCACAGGATCTTCATGAACACCTGCAACCCGGCCTCCCTCACGCAGCAGTGGCTGTTTGAACACACCAACTCCACCGTCTTGGAAATGTTCAATAGGAACTGATACTCAAGTCCCTGCGGCAGGCCCAGTGGGCCCCGGCAGGCAGCACTCGCTGCAGCCCTCCTCTCCCCAGGAGGCCGGGGGCCTGTGGGCACAGGAGCGCCACAGTGCTGGCCAGGGGTGGAGGGCCAGGAGGCTGGAGCGGAGGCTGACCTGTGCCTGCAGCTCTGGGGGAGGGGCAGCACCCTGAGAAGGCAGAGCCTGCTCCAATTCCCGCTGAGGGAAGGGCAAAGTAGAGAGGCCTTTCCGGCTTTGTCACGCTGGCCCCTTGAGCAGTATGGGGGAATCCCAGGGGAGCCCCAGGCCACCCAAAACTGAGTCCTGCAGAGCTGCCCAGTCCTGAGGTGGCTGTCCTCCATGACAGTGCTTAGAGATCAAGGCCAGATCTGCCCTCCCGGGGCAGCTTTTAGCACCAGTATATCACCTTACCAGAGGGAAAAGTAGCCCTCCCTGCCTCATGGGGGTGACTGTCACTGTTGCCCACCTTTAGTCCTCTGTTGGGTCCCAGGGACTGCGATCTGAGATCACACCTGGAACCCTCAGAGTGCAAACCCGAGTGCCAGCCAAGTGCCAGGTGTGGGCCAGGAGGGGGCCCCAACCTCTGCAGCCACGGACACACAGGATGTGCCCTCTGGCTCTCCGGGTACGTGAAATGCCCGCTGCAGTGCCCCCCAGACACAAGGACCGCCCGGCCGCCACGTTCTGGGGCTCATTTGGTGGCCTTGGGCCCCTGAGCAGGCCAAGGAGCCCACCAAGCAGACGTGCTGTCTGAACCCCCATCCATGCTTCCATTTCTCTCCAGGCACCTCCCTGCCTCCAGAGAGGAGCAGGGGTGCTGTGAGGTGCTCCCCTCCCAAGGCTGGGGGCCTCCACGATGGACTGTGGACAACACAGAGCCTCTGGCTTCATCGTGGCTTTAGTTCTCATAGAACTCTAGCACTTCTCAAGAACTCTGTGATTCCGTCACAAGCTAGAATGTTCCATGGAACTCTAGTGTGGTGTGTACTTCTAGGGTGCTGAGATCCAAGTAGCAGCCAGGTGTCCTGCAGCCAAGGCAGCTCCAGGCCTAGAGCTCTAAATCCCAAGGAGAGAGGGCTCGAAAGAGAGCAGTGGGACTTAGCCGATCCCTTGGCCCCCGAGGCTTTGGTAGTACCCATTCTCAGCAAAGGCCAGGAGCCCTGGAGCCTCATCTGAGTGGAGGAAGGAGTCCGATGTCCCGGGACAGATGTGCACCCAGCTCCATGCCAGCCTTTCATGTTTCCTTCTCACTGTTAAATTACATGTCAGATTTCCCAAGGGCTCCCCAATGCATCGCGTTTCTGTAGCAGCCCACCACCCACCTATTCAGAAGTGAAAATCGCATTTCACAACCATAGGTTCCACCAGCTGGCCCGGAAAGTACTTGAAATCAGTATTCCAATGAGATTTGGGTCATTTGGTTGTGCCATTAACCATTAAGCGACTGAGACATAAATCTGCAATCCGAGCCACGAATCTGCCTCAGAGATGCTGGCTGATCTCAAAGCCAAACATTGTTGGGGAGGAGGGGAGGGATGGGGGAGTCGCCATCCCCAGCCACCCCCACCCAGATTGGATGTGTAGCCGGCAGAGGACCACTTCCACTGCGGCCCCTGTGCTCGTCCGGTCTGCTTGTTGAGCCTTTCTGTCCCTTCCCAAATGAGCGCCCTGCCTCCAGAAGTGGCCCCCTACAGAAGGGACTCAAAGACCAGGCTCCTCCTAGAATCCAGAGTGAGGATAAGCACAGCACTGCAATTTGGGGACCTGAATCATCAGAGAGCATTGCAGCAGCATTCGAGTGAAAACTGTGCCTTTAAACAAAAAAAGAAAATGCAAATGTACAGCAGATTTCTAAACTTGAATCATCTCCTAGTGCCTTGCGAGACAACTGTACAGGGGCGGGGCGGGGCGGGGCGGGAGGGCAGTTCAGGGGTGCATGCAGGTCCTGTGGGTGCGTGCACTTCTCCGTGTCCAGACGCAAGCTGGAGACGCTGGTCCCAGAGCAGGGCTGAGATGCAGTGGCCCCAAGGGCAGAAGCCAACGCTGTACCCATCGGGCCAACAACACTCCAAACTGAAGGGCAGCTCAGCTGCATCTTTAGTCCATGGCCTCAAGGCCTTGGCAGCCCCTGAAAGAAAGCTGCGTATGGCCCCCTTGATCCCCATTTGGGGCTGCACCTGCCCCCCCATTCTGAATAGTGTACCGCCTGTCCTTCACCCACGGTAGGGTTACAGCGTGCACCACTCTGCCAGGCTTCCAGATGGTTCCACTCCTCAGGGGTGGCAGTGTTCTCGGCAAGGGCAGGAGGCCTGTGCGATGCAGGAGCCAAGACCTCCCTTGTCCCTGTCCCCGATTCTCCTTTCTGGTCTGGCCCACACCTTAAACCGAGTTGGGTGGATCCGCTGACCTCTGGCATTCGTCACGGCTGAGCCCTCCTCACTATGTTCTGACACCTAATCATGCAGTAGATGAAGGACAGAATTTTACTGTCAGTTCTGTTGAGTGATTACAAACACTACGCCCCTTGTTTTGACCTCATCTTTAGAAACCGCCTGTCACAGGCCTCTGCTCACCTCCCTAACAACACTATGAAACTCAGCCAGGAGTCTGCAGAGATGCCGCTAGCCAAGGAAGAGGTGAGAGCTTGGGGCCCCTTTCCTCAAAAGCTTATTTAGAAGAAGTCACAATGCAGAGTGTGACTAAAAAGGATGACCACGTGACCCACCTTTGCACAGGAGTCAGTGCTGTAAGTGCAAGGCCTTTGGAAATGATTGGATTTGCAGGTGTATATGTGAAATGCCTCCGTTGACACTTTGGGCTTTGAAAACTAGTCCAGGAATTATTGGTTCTTTCCCTCAGGAAGAAGGAGCTCAGAGGCAGAAGGGGAACATCCGCAGAAGAGATCTGAGCAGGGATGTGAGGTCAGGGCTGGAGAGAGAGAGCAGTTTGGTTCAAAGTGCACCACATGCATTTCCAAAGTCCACGTTACATTCACTCTACAGACCTCCTATCTTCTGAATGTCTTTTTCAGTTTAAGAAACAGGTGATATCCTTGAAAACTGCTTCAGATTTCTTTCTGTGCATCTCCATTATTCTAGTCTCTTGAGCCTCAAAAGAATGGCAAAGTGCTTACAGTAGTAACCGAGAAGTTAGGGTTCCTGGCTTCAGTGGCCCCTGGTGTGCACGGGCTGGGTGATCTGACATAATTTCTAGTAGGACGAGAGCAGATGAGGAGCAAGGACTGCCCTTCTATTCTGGAATCCTTTATTTCTCACTGACGTGCTATAAAAAGTCCAAGCAATGTTTTAGTGTAAACTTGATTTGAGCCGAGGCCCACTGCTACCTCTGGGTGAGGGGGACCCACAAATCAAGGGACAAGGTTGTCTTAAACTCTGCACCCCAAATGGCTTTGGCCACCCTTCTCTCTTGCTGGTTTGAAGGCCAGGCCCCTGGGCACTGTGTGTAGGGGATCTTGGGGAATTCAGGCACAATGATGTACAGAAAGCTAAATACCACCAAGCTCTCCCCTCCTGCCTGGGAAAGAGCCTTTGTGAAGGAGTGACTTACTATGTGTGACTGTGACGGCTATTGAGTAAACTTTCAGACTTTCTCTAAAGTGGTCTCTGGTGTCTTTCTGCCCGTGTGCTCTCCTCCTCCCCCTCCCCCTCTCCTTCCCATTACCCCACCCCCTCCCCCCTCCCCGTCCCCATCTTCCTCCTGGACTGTGCACCTACTGTGTTCTCAGACACTGCCAGGAACTGAGCAAAACCCATCAGCCAGCGCAAGAGGCTGGCCTAGGGCAACAGGATGAGTACACATGCAAATAGGACTAAGAAGGACCATGTAGAGACTGGCATGGAGGTCAACAGCCAGAGTAATCAATGAGCCAAAAGGAGGGGGTCTGAGCCAGAGGGCAGTAAGAGAAGAGAAGTCCTAGCAGAGCTGGTGCAAAGGCCCTGAGGTGGGGAAGGGCTTCCTGTGTCAAGCTGATGGAGGTGACCTTGGAGAGTTCTGAAGGGTAGGACACAGAGCTCTTAGAGACCACACCCTGGAGCAGGGTAGTTTGGGAAGGCAGTGGCAGTGTGAAAAGGCTGAACTCACTCTGCTGCTTGCCCATCAGCCACAAGTACTTGTTGACCAAACATTTCTATGCTGTTAAGTTTGTCTAACACCGTGCTGTAGAAAAAACACTGGCTTGCCCACCTCTGTGTAAAGCACGGGGAGAGCCTGTGCAAGACCTGCCGGCAGCTAGGCCTCACAGTAAAGTGCCCAGACTTCTGACGATGCTTCCAGCTTTGGCTGTGGTTCCTGGGGTGCATCCCGGGAAGGGAGCTATCCCAGTCTTGTTATTCAGAGACCACCCGAGGATGCTGTGGATCATGGCCTGGAGAAGGGTGACTCACCAGCTTCAAGCCTAGGACAGAGAGGGTCTCAGTGGTCCTCAGAGCCTGAGAATGTTGCTTCCAATTATTGCTTTTACACATATGAAGTCTCAAGCCCCGAGCAGCTCCTGACTGAGTGACAGTGGTGACAATTCAGGTTTTCATTATCCCTGCTCCACTGTTATCCTCAGCTTTGAAGACAGGCAGGGAGGTTCGAAAGCCTTTTGTACCTGTTGCCCCCACACTCTTAATTCCATGAGTCAGATAAGACAAAAAATTAGCTATTCATCTAGCAACAATGTATCAAGTATCTACTATGTAGTAGGCACTCTGCTAGAAATTTAAAAATTAGGCAAGGGTGAGCCAAAACACATACACGCTCTACTTCACAGGGCTTACATCTATCAGGGGAGCAGACATCATTCATCAGCTCGTCAATACAGTAAGGGCACAGTTACGGTCCTGGTGAGTGCTGCAAAGGAGGCCCCCCCGAGACGAGACCTCGGCCTTCGCAGGGAGGTCCTGGCATGCGCAGTCAGCCAAGGTCATGGCCTGAAATCCCCCACTGATGGCAGCAGAGTCTGATAAGGGGCCATTTAGGAAGTGTGGTGGCAGTTCAGAAAACAAGCAGGAATCATAAAAAACCGAAGGACTAGCAAACCTAGGGAAAGGGCCTCCCAACAGAAGCTGCTACTGTGGAAAGAAAACTGTGGCTCCCACTGCAAAAGGGAGGCTGGAAGGACGGCCTTGGCCTCTGTCCTCCTCCTTCTCCCAGGCAGCTGCCCACGGTGCTTCCCACGGGCTAAGTCCAGTAACTCAAATCCACATGAAGAAACAGGACGTACGTACGGGTCACGATAGCTACACAGGAAATGATAGGAGACAGTGTAAACGGAGCTTGTAAGCCTTGGTCTTACTTTTCTCATTGTTGAGACAAAATACCCAACACTTATAAAGGAGGAAAGGTCTGTTACAGCTCACAGTTCATGAAGGTTCCAGTCCATAGTCCTCTGGCCTCAAAGCAGGGCAGCAGGGCAGAGGCGCATCACGGAGGGAGACAGTCCATGGCAGAGCAGGCAGGAAGCAGCAAGTGGTAGCAGCAGGCACACTCTACCTGTTATCCCAGCCAGGCTGCAAACCTTTCCTGTGGTGTCCCCTGCACCCAGGGTGGGGCTTCTGTCTTCAGTAAATCCATTCAGCCACACCCAGAGCTATGATAATTCCAAGCAATGCACTAACTTAGCACCATGCACCCTTTATCCCCGTATCACATGCCCTAGATGTGGCCAGTTGCAAGAAGCCTCACCTATGAGCACATCTGGGGGGGCATCTAGATATAAATTGTATCACTGTTCTTCCTATTTGATTTTAAAGAAAACTGCCTAAGTCAATCAGTGGTAGAAATATGGTGTACAAAGAAGATGTGATGTATGTGATAAATAGGACAAGGGAGGAGCGGAGGAAGTGCTAATATCGAGCTGATATTATTCAAACTAGAATTTTTTTAAGATGTTAATTGTAATCCCCTGGACAATGATAGAAAACATAAATCAAACATATATACAGTAGCTGGCCAAATAGCTCAGCGGATCAAAGCACCTGGAAGCAGGCGCAGGGGCCAGGGGTTTGACCCCAGGGCATGCTGAGATGGCGACTGAGACTAGGTGTGGTGGTATGCATCAGTAACCCCAGCACTTGGGAACTTGGGAGGCTATAAACAGGAGAATCAGAGTCAAATCTAGTAGTGAGACCCTGAACACCCTATAGACCTTTCCCTAAAATACAGAAGAAAATAAATTATATATATATATATATATATATATATATATATATATATATATATAAAGAGGGCTGGCCTGATGCTATGCCGGCCCCACCCCCGGTGCGCTGAGATGGTAATGGAGACTGGGTGTGGCGGCATGCACCTGTAATCCCAGTGCTTGGGAGGCTGAAAACAGGAGAATCACTATGAGTTTCATCTATGTAGTGAGACCCTGTAGACCCTGTACCAAATACAGAAAGAATATATATATAGAGAGAGAGATACACACACATACAGTATATATATATACACATACATATAATATATATATACACACACACACATACAGTAGAGCTGGCAAGATAGCTCAGTGCCCTGAAGCACCTGCTTAGGCAAGCGCAAGGACCGTGATTCAATCCTCGGGACCACACACCGCACCAGCCTTATCCCCGGGGCGTGGTTGCATCTGCCTGTAATCCCAGTGCTTGGGAGGCTGAAAGCAGGTGGATCACTATGAGTCCAAGAGGCACACTGGGAATTTTCTACCACAATAAAAGCGCTGGGAGACTTGAGACACATGAAAGAGACAAAGGGGGACAGTCCCAGAGCACTTACCTAGCACGCAACAGACCCTGGGTCCAATTCCCAGAACTGGAAAAAAAAAAAAAAAATCAAACAAAAAATATCAAAATGCCAGAAGTGAATCCTTTCTTCCCGTAACTACATTAAGTGGATTGAATTTTCCATACAAAATGCACAGGTTGGCAGAATTTTGTAAATGATCCAACCAAAACTTGCTTATGAGAAACTCCACCTGAGACTCATAGGCATGCGTAAGTTGGAAGTTAGAAACTTAAAAAGATATTTGTCACAAGCAGTAACTTTTGAGAAGCTACAATGGCCATATTAACTTGAGATGGGAGCCGGGGGAAATAAAAGCAGTGCAGAGAAGAATCCAGAGCTAAAATGCATACATTTAAAAAGGGAGAGGGCCGGCGAGATAGCTCAGCAGACTAAGCGCCTGCTTTGGCAAGTACAAGGACCCGGGTTCAATCCGTGGTCCTGCATGCTGCGCCAGCCCCACCCCTGGGGCTCCCTGAGCCTGCGAAGAGTGGAGGTGTGGTGGCACACCCCTGTAATCTCAGCACTGGAGGATCATTACAAGCCTGAGCTGCATAGTGAGACCCTGTACCAAATACATAAATGAAAAAAAAATAAAAAGAAGGAAGAAGGAAGATTTAAATCAGGAATCCAATCTTTTTACCTTAAACTAGAAAAGAAAAAGTAAACTAAAGCCAAAACAGAAAGAAGAAAATAATAAAGATTAGAGCAGAAATCATTGCTAATGATTAGGAATAAATTAACAAAATGGAAAGTTTTTCTTTGGAACAAAGTAAAAAGGGCTGGGGAGATAGCTCAGTAGAATAAGCACTTGCCTGGCAAGCATAAGATCCTGAGTTCAATCCCTGGTACTGAAAAAGAAAGAAAGAAAGAAAGAAAGAAAGAAAGAAAGAA